ACACTGCTTCCCCTAGCTAAAAAACTCACTCCTGGGTTTTTAACAGCTTTTGAGATGCTATGCGCCTGTGACAAAACTGTGCTCTCAGTGGTCATACAGTCAAGCTAGCCTAGCATCATAAGCCTAGCACGGTTGCTGTCTAACTTAATTGGACTAAGGCTTGAGGACTTGCTCTGGGTAATAATAATCTTTAAACTTTGCTGACACTGTTGTTTTAAAATCTTCACTACAGTTCTTCGACCTGGCCCCACATACACAGGAGATAACGTGTAGTTTCTACTTCCACGATGCACAGTATTGGCCGCTGCTCTGGACACTTTTCCTGACCTTGCTGGGATGCACCAGGAGAGCCCGGATAGGCTGCAGGGTCCACATTGGAAGGGAAAGAAGCAAATCACGTTCAAGCAGAACACAGGCATTTGGGACAGCAGCCCTTAATTTATCTTGCCTGTTGTGCGTTTATTGCCTCCTTCCTTTTGGTTTCATCATGCCTATTTAGTGGTTCTTTTCCTAACTTCTTGCACTGGCAGCTCTCACAGTGTATATTTGGGTAACACCTCTGGATTTCCCCAACAAAGCCTCAGGTGGTCATGGGGGGGGCTTTTCAGAGGTGGATGGATCTTGGGGGGTGCGATGCTTGGATCATGGTTGTGTGACTCCTAACTCAGTGGTTGGTTTGGCTGTTTCTCAGTGTGGGTAATAGGAAAACCCTCCCTGCGTGTGAGCGCTACCTGCCCTAAGGCTTTAGCCCAGAGAGAATATAAGGGGCAGAAAGGGGCTGCTGGGTCACCTGCTGCTGTTCGCTGCCTTGCTGTCTCCTGCCAGCCCTGCCCTGGACTGTTTCTCCTCTGCAATGCCCCTCAGCCACATCATCACACTTTGGAGCCAGCTGACTGTGGACTGAGCTTCCACAAACTGTGAGCCAAATGAAACCTTTCCTCCATTAACACTGGAGTATTTTGTCTCAGCAGTAAGAAAAGTCACTAAGACCCTCCCAAAGCCTTATGGGCTCCTGGGTGAGGTCTTTGGGAGGTGAGGGATCATGCGTGTCTGATACTGAATTAGTCCATTATGGATTTACAGCTGGTGTTTATAGCTAATGTTGGGAGGTGGAGCACGATGGGAAGAGATGGATCTCTGCAGGCGTGACCTGAGAGGGTGTGTAAATATAGCCACCAAAAATACACATACACCCCAGAGCTAGAGAAACTTGAGACTGTACTTCAATACTAAATTTACTGAGACAGTGTGAGATTCATGCAAGTTAACTTTTGGGCTCTGCAGTTGCAAGGGGAGCTCAAAGTGGTAGCCTTGAGTTAGCACATGGCTATTAGTGTGTGCCCTGCTGCTCGGGTCACCCTTGTCACTGAGATTGCTACACATGCATTTTCTATTTGTTTTTTAATGTAAAAATTCTAAACATAAAAGAGTAACTAATATAAAAAGTCATCATGTGTCATTGTTGTACTTCCCCAAAAAGGCCCCTGAGATGAAAAATGGGGCAAAACCCCTGAGATGGAAAAGACGGGGCAAAACAACGTCGTTTTTAGGAAGAAGCGCTTTATTTTAGCTGGCCCAGTGACACAGCGCAGATGAAATTTGCAAAGCTGTGCAACTGAGTTAGAGTTTTGACTGATTTTTATAGTTCATTTATGATTAGCTCATTGATCATTAAGTACATAGTGATGAGAAACAGAAACAAGGTGGGCCTTTGTTCCCCTTTGCTTGAGGTAAGAGGCATTTCACAGTGGGTGGTCAGCCAATTCATAGCCCTTGGTGTGCCAATTCCAGGAACATTTGTCTCTCACAAAGGGAACAATGGTTGACATAGCATCAATTGTCTCTTACAATGGGGGAACAAAGGTTGACATAGCACACAGGTTACTTGGGGGGCGGGGTGACTCGTACACAACAGCGTAATGACGTGGTCAGTTAATTTATAACTATGTGGTTGGTGCTTGGTTACTAGGGTAAGGAGCTCAGTACAGAATGACAATACTGCTAATAACTATCCTTTTAACTAACTATTTTTGCTAATTATCTTTTAATCAATTATTTTAATTTTTCAGCATCTTAGTATAACAGTCATCAGAGACGCTTCCAGAATCATCGCCAAACCTCTCTTGTCTTTTGCTCATTTTAAAGTCTGGCTCTTGTTTTTCCACTGAGATGTTTTTCAAAGAACCAAACCATCATTTCACCCCTCCATTCATCTGTTAATTGTTTCTAAGTCAATAATTTCTGCTTTCAGTGTATTAATCCTTTCTTTTAATTTTTTGCCAGGGTTGCAGGATTAATTCTACTTGCCGGGAACATGCGCTCCAAGGTGTGAATCTGCTGGCAGCTGCCCGGGAGGGAGAGAGGTGGGGCACTGTGGCTGGGGGCTCCTGTGGGGCCAGCACCCTTCCCCTGGCCCCGGCCTCACTGGCTGCCCCACGTTCCCCTCATGATCCCTACCCTGCCAGGCTTTTCAGACAGCCTCCTCCACCTTACCAGGTCGTGGGGAACACCAAGGCTGCTCCTGCCCCATGGACCTGTCACCCCCACCCGGTTCCCGGTGCAGAGGCCTGGACCAGAGGCTCAGGTCCTGAGGCTTTGCTCTCTGTACCGCTGCTAGGGCTAGGCTTCGGGACCTGGGGCTCTGGACTTCAGGGCTGTGCCCGGGGCCACAAGGGGTCATGTCTGGCTTTGGCTGTGGATTTCCTGTCCTAGGTTTTATTTTATTTTATTTTATTTTATTTTGAAGGTAGTAGAAATACAACAGAACAAGACAGAACAAAGCCAATTGAGACATCACAGTGAAACTGGTACAGAACTTCAGGGCAGGTTACCGGGATAACAGGAATAGATACCATAGTATATCTCCTTATCTTCACAATGATTGTCCATTCAATCAGGTATAGCAAAATCAAACCAAAAACAGAACACAATAAAACCACTCAAAGCAATATTGAATATAGCAAGACAATTAATCAGAACAAACAACACAGTGAGAACAATATTTGCCTTCAAAGAGGAGATAGAAGGAAATCCCCATATTTGCTATATTGTATAAGGTCATCCTCCTGAGGTGCAAAGGGGAGGGGAGTGGGGACATTTGGTTCCCAGCCTGCCCACCTGTAGGCTCACAGGAGACACTGACTGGGTTTCCTCTTGGCTCTCACCAGAGAGAGGCACTTACCAAGAGGGTGAGAAAATTGGTGGATTGCTTATTTGTGCCTATGTTTTTTTTTTAAATTAATTCTTTTTTATTGATTTATTTGTTTTGTCTTTCTGAGGCAGGGTCTCACTGTGGAGTTCAGGCTGGCCTTGAGCTCACTTTGTAGCCCAGGCTGGCCCCAAACTTGCAGCGCTCCTCCTGCCTCAGCCTCCCTAGGGCTGTGAGGACAGGCATGCACCACCATCCCAGCTGGCTTTTATGCTCTGCTGACCCAGAGCTCACTTGCTGGAACTCCTGCCCTTCATTTAAAGGCTGAAGTGGAGGCACAGCACCGGTCCTTAGTCACATGGGCTTGGCCCAGGGCTAGGACAGAACTCAGCAGCCCCAGCTTGCACTCAGACAGCTTTGGGACGCAGACAATCAAGCAAGTGTGCAAAGGCTCCACAGGGCCATGGAGAAAATGCCTGGCAAACCGGGTGCAAAATTGTGTGTGTAGTATGTGAGGTGCATTGCACAGGACGCATGTGTGTGTGTGTGTGCGCGCGCACGTGTGTCTAGAGGAAGAAAGAGAAGTTGTCTGAATTAACATGATGTTAGGGCCCACTGGGAAATGCTGGGCCTCATATTTTGAAAGAATCTTAAAGATTAGAGGTGGGGGTAATTTTTTTAATGTTCTTTCTTCTGGTACCGGGGATGGAACTCACGACCTTGCACTTACCAAGCAAGCACTTGAACCACTGAGCTAAATCCCTGGCCCTAATGACCTTTTAAAAATTGTTTATTGCTACAGCTTAGATGCACACAGTGATCACCTTCACCCCAGGGAATTTTGCCTCCACGTGACGCATCTTGATTCCTCTTTTCCCTCTCATCCCCCACCCTCCCTCCAAACCCTCTCCCCCTTCTTATTTAAAAGCTTTGTTTCTATTTTACTCCTCTTTTCTCACTCCCCCCACTCCTTTCCCCCTTCTCCTCCCTAGTTCCCCTTTCTTTTGAGCAATTTCTTTTTTTCACAGTAGCTAATCTACATTTTGGTCCTTATTTACACTTTCACTTTCTCACGCCAGAGACACAATGAGATACTTGCGTATTTTTGTCCAACTTATGTTACTTAAGAGTATGGTTTCAAGGGCATCCATTTAGCTAGAAATGTCTTGAGGTTATCCTTCTTTATGGCCCAGGAGTACTCTATTGTATTAAAAAAAAAAAAAGTATCTTCTTTGTCCTTCCACAGTTGATGGCATTTGGTTTGTTTTCAAGATCTGGCTGTTACAAACTGCGCTGCTATAATCATGGGTGCACATATCTCTGTGGTGTGATGCTTTTAATTCTTTTGGGAAGACACCAAGAAGAGAAGGGAATAGATGGGTAAAATGGGACCTCCTACCTTAGTTGTGTTTTTGGTTTTTTATTATTTTAGGGTTTTTTTGAGACAGAGTCTTGAGCTGTAGCTCAGGGTGGCCTTCTGTATACTATGTAGCCCAGGCTGGCTTCAACTTTTCAATGATCTGGTGATCCTCCTGCCTCAGCCTTCTGAATGCTGAGATTCCAGGTGTGAGCCATCAGGCCTGGCTACTTCCAGTTTCCTGAGGAATCTGCACACTGACTTCCGCAGTGGTTGTACAGTCTGCTTCTCCACTAACAGTAGATAAGGGCTTCTTTTTCCCCACTGCCCCTCCAGCCTTTGTTGCTAATACCCATTCTCTCCCGGTGTTGTTTTAATTTGCATGTCTCGAATGACCAGTGATGCTGAACATTTTCACATGTTTTTTTTTAGCATCATGTCTGTGCCCAGGTGCAAGGGAATACTGCCCTGTTGGCAGGGCCTCCAGTGGGATGCAGTGGGGTTCAGAGTGCCTGCTGGGGTAGGGGGAAGAAACCAAGGTCACAGTGAAGCAGCTGGGTCCCTGTTGGCCCTGCAGGAGCTGGCTGCTAACTGGCCCATCGGAATGTAGGGTTACACTCGGTCACTTCCCCATATGAAACGACTTTACAACCAAGGACTGCAAGGCCCAACCTTACTAAGTGCTTGCTGTTTTGTCTCTTTGAACAGTGCCTAAGATCTTGGTGCCTGGCTGCACATGTGCCCGACTGGCAGATGGGCCATGCAATGTGTCCTGCCACGCTGTCCCCTTGCTGTCCTGACGCTGTGCTCTGTGGAGCTGTCGGGGGCGCGTCTGTCCTGTCACCATGACAGCAGGGACTTTCCCAGGCTGGGGATTTTCATGGCCTCAGTGACTGCTGTTGACCTCCAATCAGCCTGGCCTTGGCTGACGCTGCAGCCGTCTTTCGGTTTCCCAGGCTTCTGCGCTTCTCACTCAAAAAGCTGCGAAACTGTTCCCTTTTGAATGTGCTCAGCATCTTCCAGAAGCTATGAAGGAGCAGAGGGATCGCCCCCAAGCCAAGCTGTTTCAGACAGAAGAGGAACAACTGGAGTTAAAGAAGAGTCATCAGTTTCTCAGAAACCAGCTACAAAAAAGAGAAAAGCATCAGCAACACAGGAACAATATGACGGCGTGGACCACAGCCTGGACCACGGAGGAAGAGGGGCCAGCTGATGGTCTGCAGCAGAAGTCAGTTGGCAGCCACTCTTGCTCACCCTTGGGGACACTGGGTAAACTGTAGTGCTTCCCATTCCATGGGGCTCCAGTGGCCCAAAAAGCCACATGGGAGCCAGCGCTCTGCGTGTAGAAAAATCACGTCTGTGGGGAGCCTTGGAGAAAGCTCGAGTCTGGGCCGGAGGTGGGAGTCTGGCCAGCTCTGTGTGACAGGGACCCCAGGAGGAAGCCCTGCACACAGGACACAGACAGACAGGGCAAAATCCGCTGCCCGCCTTGTCGTGGGCCCCGGACCAGCTCCAGATGCCCTTGTGCCTCCGTCTCCACATCTGTGGAGTGGGTGCTGTGTCAGGGTGGCCGCCTAGCGGGTTTAGTCCCATAAGTTCTGCAGCCCAGGAGCTGCTCTCCTGCCGCTCCCATCGGGCTCCACAGGCCACCTGACACACGACACACCCAGAGGCTCAGGCCTCCCGAGGGAAGTGCTGACCACGGTGGGTGGGTGGTGAATCAAGAGTTTTCAGAAAGAGTTGCCCTTTTTCCTTCTTAGCCTGCTGGTGGGGAAAAAAAGTTTTCAGAATGACAGGACAGTTACAGACACTCTGAGCTCAGGAGGAAGTGTGAAGTGGTAAAGTTTAGTTCATAAAACAGATCCCGAATAGTACCATGTCTATGGTTTCCTTACCTTTAAGGCCACTGAGGAGCCAAATGGATGGCCAGGTTCTGCTGGAGGGTCCCTCCCCACTTCCTTCCCCTTTCTTCTCCTCTCCCTTCCCTCCCCCTTCCCACCATCTACCCCTCCCCTTTCCCTCCCTTCCCTCCCTCTCACCTTCCCTCCTTCCTTACCTCCTTCTGGCCAAGCTTCTTCTTGGCTTGTTTGGCCCCAGAAGCTGCTCATCACAAGAATAGCCAGGCTCTGCACAGAAAGGGCAGTCAGAGGGATGGTCACTCCCGTCCTCAGCTCCTGGGGGAGCCCAGGTCTTAAAGGCCCTTGGGAGGGGCTGTGGGATAGTTACCAGCAAGTGACAAAGATGCCACCAGGCTACCAGCAGTGGAGAAGGTGACTGTGAAATGGCTAGTAAACCTGTAGTCACTAGGAACTTTGACTGCAGCAGGAGAGGAAACCCAGAGGGGAGGTCAGATGGGCTTAGCAAGAGGGGCTTCAGGAGGGGCGTTTGCTCACCTCAGAGTCAGCCTGTCCATCAGTACAGCTGTCCACCTGCCACTTCTTCCTTCCTCCTCCCCTCCCTTCCTTCCTTCTTTCTTCTACCCATCTGTTCATCCATCCATCCATTCATCCGTTCCTCCATCCATCCACCCATCCATTTCATCCATCCATCCATCCATCCATCCAGTGATCCATTCATCCATTCATTCATTCATCCATTCATCCATCCATCCATCCATTCATCCATTCAATCATCCATTCAGCCATCCATTTATCCATCCAGCCATCCATCCATTCATCCATCCATCCACACATCCATCCATCCACCTATTCATCCATCTGTCCACCCACCTATTCATTCAAAAACAATCTCGGGTGTGGCTGCCTGGAATGAGCTGAGCTCACTATGTGACTAAACCGATAGCTGTTTCATAGCAGAAATAGGGAAAATGATAAGAGGACCACGAGCTGGTGGGAGAGAAGAGGAAGGGAAGGTAGGGCACGTATGAGGGTAGAAGATGTTTTACGTACATGTATCGATTTTCCGCAATGAATGTGATCATCATGCACTGCAGATATTACAAATAAAAAAATACTTTTTAAAAAGCAGGAAACTTTTACAGTGGATTTCAGTGGAGAGCTGGCAGCTGCAGGCCAGGAGAGAGCTCTTCCCCCAAACTTGAGGACTGGTACCCACTGCTCCGGGCTGGGGGTGTTGGCTGCAGGGGTGTAGGTGTTTTGCTGAGCTAAGGGTGTCACAGGGTGGCCTTGTAGTAAGGCATCCTGCTTGTGGAGATCCCCCCAGATTCCCCCCAAACTGCCACAGAGAGCTTAGAGCATGTGCTGCTACCCCAAAATCTGCTGACAAGATGCCTAATGTGTACAGGTGGTTACAGATGAAAAGCAGTTTAAAATGACTACTGTGGACTGATCAGGCCCAGGCTCCATCTTAGTTAACTGGGGTCGGCATCCTCAGCTGTGGCCTCGTCTTGTTCTTGGCAGTCTCATGGCATCAAAGGCCACTGCGGGCCCCAGCCAGGACCAGTGATTCATAGAGGTTCACTTACTATGGATCAGCTCCCATCTCCAGATGGGGACCTGGGACAGACTCACAGATACACACAGAAAGCCGATTGGTTCATTTTAAATCCTGCTCAGAGCTACTTCTAGTGGTCTCCATCCAATGACACTGTGTAAGAGAGAAAGCATCTCCTGAGTTATTGTCATGGCTGTGTCTAGATGGCCCTCCTCAGGGCTTCATAGGATTATGGGCGGGGCTTTTTCAGAGGGGGCTGGATCTAGACTGTATGATCTAGAGTATATGATCTAGAGTGTTTGATTACCAAATTAGTCTGCTGATTGGCTTGGAACAGGCTGGGTAGCATTAAAGGAGTCTGGCCCTGAGTGGCCCTGGGGGATCACCTTGGCCCTCCTGACACTGTGTAGACATCACTTGGTACAGAACATTTCTAAATCTACTCGCCTGTCATAGAGCCCTGGGTGACTGAAGCTTCTGTGAGGGACTCCGGGAAATGAATCAGGTGGCTGCTGGCATCGGAGTCACTCCAAGCACAGCAAGCGCTGCCGGTCCCAGCGGGGTAGAAACTGGGTTGGCCTCTTCCCATGGTGGACATCACTAATCGATCAGGCCACCTAACCTGGCCAAATCTGGACTGGGCCTAAGTGGCAGGCATACCAATGGCCCTGACGGGGCACAGAACACAAGCCTCCTCCACCTCCAGGTGCTCTCTGGGACAGCGGAGCCAGCTTTGCTGTGTCGGACTCTGAGACCATCTCTGCCCCCGCGTACCCCGCTTCAGAAGCTGCTGCGAGAGCCAGCGCCTGCTTCCCGCTCAGCCGCCCTGCTTGGGACTGGTCACCAAGCATAGGAGATGCCCCCTGCACTTCTCAGCCCCAGGTCCAGGTTATGGGCGAGGCCTCTTGTGGTGGGTGAGAACACTGCTCCTTCGCAGTCACACCATCAGTTAGGAAACAGTATCGAGGGAAAAGTCTGTGTCAGTTCAGACACAATCTTTTCCCCCCAAATATTTTCCATCTGAGGTTGACTGAGGCTCAGATGCCGAAACCACAAGCGTGGAACCCAGGAACCCGGAGCTCCCAGACGGCGCTGGGTGGCAAGGTCCTCAAGGGCACAGGAGTCCAGGGAGCTCTCAGCGGCCTGACGGTGAGTAGCTCCACATCTAGGTCTGCTTCCATCTGCGGAGACCTCAGGTCACACACAGTCCCCCGTGCACTGTCACCAGACGGGGTTCAAGGAGGTGCCCCATGCAGCAGGGGTGGGGGGACAGCTCGTTTTACCCACTGATAGGGTGTAGGTGGCTGACTGCTGTCACAGAAGGAGAAACTTGCAGATGCCTCAGGGAGCAGCAGAGAGAGGGTGTCAGGTGAAATTAAACAGTGCACCTCAAGATGAGTGGGGCTCAGAGAGACAGACAGACAGAGACAGACAGCCAGAGAGAGGCTCTGGGTATCGGGGACCTAGCCAGGATCCCCGATTGCCTATATCAAGGGCATGAGGAGAGGATAAAATAAGAGACAGACGAATTTAGTAGTAGGTGATGAGTGACGCGAAGTGGGTACCTGCAGATGGGCCCAGAGTGGGACACCCCAAGACAGCCACTCTGTATTGGGTGTGTACAGCAATGGGCAGGGCTAGCAGAAGACTTAAACTAGAGGGGGGACGAAGAGGTCTGTAACTCAGTGGGCAAGGGTAACCTGGGGACCATTTAGGAGGCTGGAGAAGCTCTTAAGCTAAGAAGCATCTTGCCCTGGAGTGTTTTTAGAATTAGTGGTTTTAGTCTTAGTCTTAGTGGGTGGGAGAGGATGGCCCATCCTTAAGGGGTAATAGGAAACCTCAAAAGGGCAACGCCCATAGTCCCAAGCCTCTGGTCACCCTTTGGGGAAGTATGCAAAATTAGCCATAGTGATGTGTGGTCCCCAATCTGGGGTAGGGGTTTTGTGTGGACCTGGCAGCCCAGGAAGTGTTATCTCCCCCGTCTCACAGGTCATCCTTCTGATGCCAGTGAGGAGGGTTAGGAAGATATCACTTCCCTGGGTTTGGAGCTGGGACACGCTGCCTGCTTTCTGTGAGAGGAAATACTACTTTTAGCCGAAAAGCACTGGCCCAAGCTTTCTGCATGTTTGAGACTTTTAGGAATTTTTCTTTCTCTCTCTCTCTTTTTTTTTTTCAAGCAAGTTTCATGGAAGAGAAAAAGGTTTGGGTAACTTTTGTGACTCAAAGCTGCAGCTTTTCACATTCTTTTTCCCTAAAAGCACAATTTTAAAGTTATGACTTTCCTATCCTACCTCAGCATGGCAGTGACCTTGGGCAAGGCCAGAGTGCCACAAGGGAGGATGGTCTGTCTCTACCCCAGTTATCTGCCACTTGCCTTTGGGATCCGCCGGACTCCAGGATGGCCTTGCGGGTCTGTCTCTGTCTCCTCTCAGGGCTCCTGTGCTGCCCAGAGGACCCTGCTGTACTGGCCGAGTGGCAGGACTTGGTGGAACTTTTGAGACTTAGCCAACTTCCCTGTGGCTGAGACCAAAGGGCGCCCCGCCACATGTGCTTATCTGTTCCAACCATGTCAGACACCTCTTCCTCCCCCTACAGCCTGAGATCATGCAGCCCACAGGGAGGCTCCAGAAACCTGAGACTCCATTGGGCACATCTTCCAACCTCTCTTCCCACCTTTTGGTTTCACAGGGACTGTCTGATTTCCCACTGATATTGTGGAAAGATCTCCCAGCCTACCAACTGTTTGTCCAGTGCGAGTTTGTGTTCTCTAAAATCCACAAATAAATTTTAGGAACAACAGAGGTTAAGAGCAGGGTATATTTACTGCGAGAAAGAAAGCTTCTGTACAAGAGGGAGATGGCCCAGTGGGTTGCTTGAGGACCCTGCTTTTCCAGGGATTTTTACAAAGCAAAACCACAAGATGAGGTTGGTCCAAGGTGGGGAAAATGGGAACTCGCAAGCTAGGCATGAGGTAGGACAGAACTGCGGGCAACCAATAAGCTTATGCGTGTAATCCCTTAAGTAAGATTGATTAAATCAGGATCCAATAGGGAATCGGTCATGCACCACAGCGGGGGCAGGGCCTTTGCCTATTGCGGGTTGGGTTAGTGGCTCCTTCTGGCTTCCTCCAGGTGACCAAAGTGAGATGACCCAACCCTATTTAGACTATCAGCCCCTGAGGTTTACCTTAGGCTGTGGGTACCTTTGTTTTGCCTTTTGTCTTGAGGTCCGGCCCACAGCAGGAGGTATCTGTCTCTTCTGAGGCTGCAAGGTCTCCGGGCTTCTGCACTGGCTCCTTCTGGGACCCAGTCCTATCTGCCTAGAAGATTCCATCTAACTCACTGCCTGTCATACCAGCAGCCCATCTTGCCTGACCAATTGGGGACCGAAAGTCTCTCAGAGCTCCCTGGGAGCCGTTTATGGTAACAGCACCCCATGGGAGCCCCATGGGAGCCGCACCAAGTCTTGAGCCCAGGAAATTGGCTAACTTCACCCCAAGGCAGGGACAGAACAGTGCCAGGTTACTGCAATGTTCGCAAAACCAGATTTTGCCGTTCCCAGGATTCTCCAAATTCCTTGAAAGCTTTGGCGATCTCCTGGCTAAAACGAGATTCTGTGGGCTTCTCAACCCCAGGGCTCCTACTGGACAGTCCTGAGAGCATGTCCTTGTCAACCTGGCTACAGGGTCCAGGAGAATGGCACCACGTTCATGTGGGCACTGGTCCCAAGTCTGCCCAGTTGCCAAGGGCACAGGGTGATTGTATCTGTGAGTAGGTTCCAGGCAGAAGGGGGCTTCAGGACCCTTTGGTCGCCCTCCCCACCTTCTCTGGGCTTATTCCCCCCTCCAGCCCTGCTGCGAAGAGCCTCCATGTGCACCAACCGGTTCCCACACCGTCCTCACCGTCTCCTCCCCTCCCCACCAGGTCCCCCACGTCCCCACTCTGTGTTCAATCTCTCACCCCTGCACATTTTTTTCTAACACCCCAGCCTCCCTCTCGGCCTGTCTGGGAGCCTGGAAGTTCTTCTCCAGCCCTGTACCCTTAGGGCATCAAAAGAATGTTCTGGAAGGTTCTTGGAAGGGTGGCAAGGAAGGTGATATGAGCACAGGCTCTCCTCTGGTCTCTTGTCCCGTGATTCATCCAGATGAACACAGCTCCTGCATGTGGGTCCTCGTGGGCCTGAGCTGACCCACTCCCAGCTGAGCAGCCCGATATCAACTCCAGGTCAATACAGCAGGCGGTGGGTTGGCAGGGAGCGAGGTATAGGCCAGACAGGGTGTGGTACCGGCCCTCAGCCTCGGCCACTCCCATGGCTCTGCACTGTCACCAGGTGCGGGTGAAGGGTCTTCTCAGGAGAAGAACTCCACTCACCTAGGATAGGCTTTAATCTTGTTGCAGAGAAATGGTGAGAGGCACGGACAGATTTACCAGGCAGAAGCACAGAAGTACACACCCACAGAGAAGGGATACAGGCAATGGAGAGAGAGGCACACTGTGGTCCAGCGTTGAGGGTCTTTCTGGGGCCTTGGGGAAACTCAGAACTGGGTGATCCAGCCGGGATGTTTATTTTTTGAGTTATTTGTCATTTATCTAGTGTCTGTTTCTTTGGCTGGAACATAAAACCCTGTAACTTCAAGGAGGATTTGGTTCACAATTTCAGGGGTTCAGTCCATGGTCAGCTGGCTTCCAGAGAGGGCCAACATGGTGGAAAGGTGGAGCCAAGATACTCCCTTCTCTGTGGTTGGGAACAGTGCCAAAAACAGAGGGGAGCAACCAGAGGCGCTACGCAAGGTCATGCCTCTGTGACCACCCAGACATACCCGGAATTGTATTCCATCAACCTGAGTATCTGTTTGTCCAGTCAAGTTGACAGATCAGGATTGCTGGTCAGTGGACTAAAGCAGAAACTGACCGTTTCAACCAGAAAACCAGGAAGTGTGGGCATGTTGGAAGTTTAGAAGATGATTCCCATTGAATAGTACTGTTTCTTTGAACTTTATGGGCTTATAGTCGCAAAAGGGAAACACAGGCCAAATGTATGGTCTTTTGATATCTTTAAGACTTAGGAATTTAGGACTGAGGAGCATGGAGAGAGAAAAGACAAGCCTGGGATAGAAGAGTCATAGTAACCTTGGGTACCTGAGTATATCTTAAACCTGCAGTTCTTAGAATGGGTGCTAAAAATACAGTATGTTCCAATAAAACTGCTTTATAATAGGAGACCTACCACCCCAAGCTGCCTTCAGAATCTTCTCCCTTGCTTTGAGTATACTCAGCCCATCCTTCTGGCCCTCCTGCAGCAGCTCCAGAGTCCTCTTTCCTGAGGATCTTTGGCTGCGCTGTCCTGGCTGCCCCATGTCCTGAATCCATTGAAAAAGTTTCCCTTTCCTGTCCTGCTGCCTTTAGGGGAGCCGGAAGTGGCAGGCGGATGGGGGTGCAGCTCCCTGTGTTTCATGAATCTGTCTTTCTGTCGGAAGGTGCTCGGCTGCAGTGCTTACTATGTGTTTTTTATCATAATTCATAAGGACACTCAGGAAAGAGGACTCCCCAGCTGCTTTACAAAGTGGCAGGAGTGGTGAGCGAGGAGCAGCATTCTGAGGGGGATCCTGCCAATACATCTGCACTGTAACCGAATTTTAAATTTAACTCGTCACTGCATTATACGGTCACCCCTCGTATGGCCTCCCCATCTCCTCCTACCTGTCTCTATTTCTCCCATCCCAGCTCAGTGCCGGTGCCCTGAGCCTGGACCTGGGCCCAGTGACCCTCGTGGTGCTGTGTAAACTTCTAAAGCAGCCCCTCCCAGGGGTCCCGGGACAACCTGTGACAGCAGTGTCTGAGGCAGCGTGGACTGTGCGGGTCTTTGGGTCTGAGGCACAGCTACCTAAAAAGGGCAGAGGCGGATTCCTGGAGCTGGACATATCCGGACTGTGTCACTGCAGTGGGGACAGGAAGCCATAGCTTGGGAGGGACAGGGTAAGTGACCTTTGTCACAGATTCTTGTGCTCATGAGAAGAGGAAGGAAGGAAGGCACAGTCTCCGGGTCCTCACATGTCTGTGGTTCTGCAGCTGGATGGGCAGGTCCCTGGAGCTCCCCCTGTCTCTAGGAGGGGGCCCCAATAGGAATGCAGAGTGGCCCTCCAGCATCCCAAGCTGGAGCTGATACCACATGGGGTAGCAGCTCTGGCTTTGGGCCTTTTGAGACACCAGGCAGAGCTGGCGGAGACCAAGAGCCCAGGGCACAGGGACAATCACTGATGAGCTTGTGAGAGAGGCTGCAGAGGCTATGAAATGAGGCACCACTGAGACGGTGTTCACACCCTTCGGGGACCTGATTCCTTATGAGGCGCCGAAGAGCCAGGCCCCAGGAGCTGGTGCCCGGAGAGGTGGCTGAGGGCGTGTGCTGTGAGTGTCATGCGTGCTGCCCCCACACAGCCTGGCAGACTGGGAATCTGTCAGGCAGAGCTGCTGTGGACATCAAGGCCCAGGCGCTGGGCTTTGCCGAAGGTCCTGGCTGCATGATCGAAGGGTGGGAGGTCCTGTGCCCAGGGCCTTGTGTAAGCACTGGGTGACACTTGTGGTCCCTGGAGCCTGGTTGGAACCTGGAGAAACAGTACCCAGTGCTCACAGTTGTACCACCTCCTGCCTCCCTGCCTACTACAGGGCCTCTGGCCGTGCTGTGGTTGGCTCAGCCTCATGAAGAAGCCCATGTGTCGGAAACCTGGCCCCCAGGGTGACAGGCGGACCTGGGCCTTGAGCACTGTGCCCCCTGAGTCTGTTAGCACTATTATCGTGGGTGCAACCCGCTACGAGGAGCAGCTCTACCCTCTGGCTCTCACCAAGCCATCTCCCACCCTCGTCCCAGGATTGAGCCTCAGGAGACTTCAGGTTTTCCCCTGGTCCCTTGGTGGGCACAGCCGTGGGGCAGCCCAGGCAGCAGCTCAAGCCCGTCCTGCATCATCTGAGAGAGCAGCTCTGTGCCAAGCTGCTGCTTCTGGCCTCTCAGCAACTCCAGGGCCCTGTGTGCTGCAGAGATGTCACCTGCAAACAAGGGCCCAGCCACCCTGGTCATGAACCTTTGAGGGACCCTTCGGGCCCCTGCCTGTGCAGCAGCAGCGGGGAATCCCAAGGCCAGAGCTACCCTGCTCAACATCTCCACTGACATCAGTGTTAACTTGGCCTCTTCAGGGCCCCAGGCACAGTGTGTGACTCTATCTTTGTCTTTAACCAAATAGTTTGCAATGCAACACTTCGACTTCAGTGAAGCTGCCACTTAAGCACATTTCAGGTCGTTTTTAAAGAATGCAGTGTTATGTGGTGTTGGGCAGTGAGTGAGTAGACTGGTGATCTTCCCTGTGGACGTCTGGGGAAATGGAGAAATGATTTTTATGACAAAGCTGCTGTTGCCCAAGATCCCCAAGATCTGCTGTGTCCTCACCAAAGCCACTGACCGCAGGGTGTGGTGTCAGAGCTGGCCCATGGCACCAACCCCGCCTGGTCTCTGGGATCGCAGCCACCGAATCTTAGGAAACAGAGCACGATGACAGAACCAGGCCAGAGGTGATGTGGTCGAGGGAACAGTCGCGTGTTACCTCCTCTGTGAAAGAGCATGCATGCTGAGAGGCCAGCTACAGGGAATGGTCCAGAGAAGGGAGCTTTAGCCACCAAAGCTAAATAAATAATATATGTGCTAGAGGTAGAGTAAAGGGTAGGGAAGCCCGTCTCTGGAGGACCAGGAGCTACAGGAAAATCACTGAATGACAGCCTGGGGAGGAGGTGGGTGGACGACTTCAGAAGCAGA